CCAGGAAGCCCAGACCAGAAGGCAGCGCAGCTTGTTGCTGTGGGGCATTTAACACAAATGGAGACATTACAGTGTGCATCCCAGGTCACAGCAGGGTCACAGTGAATCCTGCATCACCGCAGCACTGGGTGGGGGCTAAAATTCACCCAAGACAAAGCAGAGCAGGCTGAGATGTTCCTCTCCTGGTTGTTCCCCTTTTTGGTGGTTCTGCATTGCGTCTTAGCTCTGTTTCATCTGGGCTCACCCTGCTCTTCCAGATTTGGTTTGGTTTGGCTTGGCTTGGTTTGCTAGTGGCTTTCTTTTTGAGTTAGTCATGTTCCTATGCCAGTGACCATGTGTCATATGTCTCATGGCAGAGGCTTGAAGGCACAGGGCGGGGTTTGACCTCCCACAGGTAAGCGTCACAGCTGAGAATCCCACCACTGCTGCAGCCCTCTTTTGTACCCCTGCCAGGGCATGGGATGCACGGGCTTGGGAGCGGGCCATTGGCTACACAGGGCAGGGATGGGAAGCATTGCTCTCCTGGATCCCACCAGGCCTCTGCCCTTTGTGCTTTGTACCCTCCTCATGACACCTGATGTTGCCCAGCTCTGTTTTATTAATCAGTGATTTTACTCAACAGATGAGAATGTCAAACACAACAGAGGAGTCAGTTCCAACACCCAGAGCTGGGAGCGGAACAAGAGAGCAAATACACATCACATACCTTGTGCATGCTGGACACTCACCACGTGTGTTGGCCCTCATGTCTGTGTCATGCTTTGCCATTTAGAAAGGGTTTCTCTCTCTCTCTCTCTCTCCCTCTCTCTCTCTCTCTCTCTCTCTCTCTCACACACACACACACACACACACACACACACACGTCCCGTTGGTCTTCACAATGCCTTGAAATGTGGTTGGTCAGCTCTGAAGCCACACCCAGGGGCTCAGATATCTGTTCCTTCACCCACAGTGCACTCCCTGCCCAGTGAGTGCACAAGACATCATCTGGTCTCAGGGAGGACCCAGAGGAACTGGACTGGGTTTATGCACCTGCACCACAGGGATGGGGCTACCTCTTCCGCCTCTCTTCTATCCCCTTTCTCCTTTGTCCCACCACCAACTTGTATGGTTCATCAGGTCTCACATGGAAAGCTGCCCCTCTGTCCCCATTAGTAAAAGACATGGATGGCCCTATGGCGGTGGAGACCATGTACACCCAGCCCCAGGGCTTGCTCCCAGCTCCTGGGTATCATCAGGTGGCCTAGAGCTCTGAGGCCATGGACAACTGTAATCCGCCCATGGCTAAGGACCACCAGTAACCTGCCCTCCCCATGGTTATGATCTTCCTGCTTCATTCCCAAAGCAAGGGGAGTTATCTGCAGTTTGGCCACTTTCGTTTCCCAAACTCATTCATTTCCTCATTGATATGTTCACCAGTACCACCAAGTACCACCCCCTTAACCCTTTCTTCTCTGTGCCTCTTCCTGCTCCCAGCTCAGATCCAAGATCTTGCCTGAGTTCTGTTGCCCATCAAACTGATGGAGACAAGTAAGGTTGGATCATAGGTTGTGGAATAAATGTTTTTGATGTAGAAAGGTAATAATGTGTTCACCTTGGTGCTTGTCTTTTCCCCAAGGATCCAAGCAGGTGGCAGGGCTGGCAGTATTGTTACAGGATAGTTACAATTGTTCCCTTAGACGCCTTGAAGGACAAGTAGCTGTAAATTTGTTTCTGGGCCTAATTGGGGTCATAGAAACAAAAATAAGCACTATTTCTCAACAGATACTCCTGTAAGCCCCATTCCTTGGTCATCCTCACATGATCTCACCTGACCCTTAGACTCCACCTTCAGCTTTTCCAAGGTTTCTTCCCCATTGCGTGTGAAGATACATCCATCCCTAGCTGCTTTGGGATTCCATGATCAGTATTGAATCTTTGTTCCTGATCTCTTCTTTCAAATAAACCAGTTTAGGAATAGCTTTCCTTTGCTAAATAGGACATCTTGAGAATAGGGAGAACCCCAAAGAGATTGGCATGAGAACAAGAAGGAAGGAGTCACTAGTGGCAAGCATCTTCAGACTCAAAATGATGTCATCACTTGGTGTGATTGCAACTTGGTGACTGGGTGACTGTGGTTCCCAGGTCTCCCCTGTCCTCTGCCTGCAGTCAGCAGCAGAGTTGGAGCCCAAGGCTCTCACCAGCGGCAGGCTCTGTCCTATCTCTGTGACCACAGACAGGATGCATCCTTCTGGGCTCCAGCTTTAAGACCCAACCGCTTCAACCTCTGTATCCCTGCTTCTCCGTGGGGGTGGTCACAGGGTCCCCTTTTTCTGATCTTGTTCACTCACATTTTCCTGGACTATTGATTTTTTTTCTTTAGCCATAAAGCTACCACATTGGGAGACTTTCCTGCAGCCAGGTGATTTGTGGAAGGCAAGTACTCAAAGGAAAGGGCTCAGAACAAATTGATCAGTCTAGAGCTAGACAGGTGGGTGTCCAGCCGGTCGTGGGAGAGACAACACTTTGCCTTGCTCTTCCTTCTGGGGACTGGCATTGTTTAGTTTCTCCCAGCAATCTTTCTGGCCTGGCTTTGCATGGTCAGTGAGTGTCAGGAGAGGGACAGAGGACATAAGTCAGGAGAGCAATGACAGAACTTCATTCAAGTCCCTCTAGGTAGTGGATGTGACCTCATCCGGGTCCCCAGAAGGTGTTTTTCTCAGAGCAGTTCCCGTGGGCTGTGACCCTGCTCTCACACTGAGCTGCTGTAGCTTCTCTGTGCTCACACATGACTGACCCTGCCTTAGTCCTTTGTGGGTCCCCATGCTTGCACTCACGCTGACCTCAGGAGCCTCTCAGCCTCACACAGAAGCTGGCTGTTCCCAGGGTCCTCCACAGCTACACCCCAATAGTGCTGGAAGGGGGTGAGTGCATGCTGTGTGTGGGTGATGTGCATATTTGGCTTGTGTGTGGTGTGTGTGAACACACCTTACAAACTGTTTGGCAGCATCCATTGCTTCTACCTACTAGATGTGAGGGTCAGCTCCTGCCCAAGTCAGATGTGGGCTTCCTAAGGGGACAAAACTGTCCCTGGTGCAGAGCCACAGGTGCATTGCAAAGAGCCGTCACAGCAACTAAGCATAGCACTGTGGTTGCTGGTGCTTCTCGCATTACTAGTGATTCAAGGGCCAGCTTCTGGTTGCAGCCACCCTCACTCATTTTCCCCAAAAATCACTTCCTGAGCTCTCCACAGCCTATGTGTGAGATAACCCGCCCCTGCTGATCTTGGCAGGGAGCAGCCATGTGGGACCAGCATGGGAAAGGATCCCTGTGTCACCTGTGGGAGGTGACATCAGTGTGGTGGTCAGGGTTCATGGTCTGGCTATCCTCTAAAGGGTGATTGGGGGGTCCCTAAAGAACCTCCTCCTGCATTCTCCCCTCTGCCTCATCGTATGTGTCCCCCACTTCCATACCAGTCCCTGCAGTGTGAGTCACTCTGAGTGCAGAGTGGCTTTGGTGCTTATTTAAAAATGACCCCAGAGAGGAAATCTGCCAGTTAGGAAACTCTGACTTTGAAGTCGTCATATGCTTTCCACCTCACCAGGTTCTTAGGAGCAGGTTTTGTGTAGGGAAAGTGTAAGGCAAGCAGATTCTCAAGAAAACCTTACAGAAGGGAAGGGAAGGTGAGAAAGTACAGCCTGGGGACCAAGCTAGCCTTCCAAGACCTGGGCACCTCAAAAAGTTTGTGGAGACAGGAACTAAAAGATAAATTTCTTCTGGCACAAAAAGTATATATATATATTTTGAAATCATGCAGTTTGCTCATGATTTGCATTTCACCATGAACTGTTTTGGAGATGCACAGATCGAAAAACATTTGTTCCAAAATAAGTTATCTTGTAATTTCATTTTCTGCAAACTTGTGGAGCTTTCCTCACATGCTGAGCCCCCTGCAGATCTCTGTACTTTCAGGCTTGGTAACAACCTGGGGAGGGAGGCAAGACCATTCTTTCCACTCTACAAGTGAGGAAAGTGGTGGTCCCCACTTCATGAGCTAGCCTCTGTTAAAGACGGCTTAAAAGCTGCCATGCCTGGTTCCTGTAAGACATCTGCTAACTGCGTTAACCTGTGTTGCCATGGTCACTACTACTAGGTTCAAGGGCATGGTTTATAGCATGTTGAAAATCATGGGCTGGGTTGTTAGAAAAACACCCAGCTCCCCTTGATTCTGGGTCACCCCACAATCCCATAGATCCCCACTTACCACATCCTGTCCTGGTGGCTGGCAGAGTAAGGAAGAACACAACACCTCCACCTCAGTTTGAGTCGGACTGCAATAAACCACACTGCTTGGGTGACTATGCCGTTTCTCAGAAGCCCTGCCACGACGGTCCCTGCCAAAGTATCCCAGACAGCAGCCTTTACTTGGCCTCCCCAAGTGCCAGCTTCCTCCAGCCTGGGACCAGCATGCCAATGAACTCCGTGTTGTCCTGGCCACCAGTTTGCAGGCTGCTCCATATGGACATGCAGAATGCCAGCTGGGCCTGGGTGCACATCTCCCCAGGCTTGCCCCATACTTCTTGGAACCTAGAGTGGGTGTGGGCAGTCAGGGAATCAGTTCCAAATGTGACTGCTGTGGGGTTGTCACCTGCCCAACCAGTTCAGGCATCCCTGTGACAATCCCAGACAACATCCTGGCCTTTTCACCATGGAGCCCTGACTGAGGGCCCCGATTGTGCATGGTGCTTGCACTCATAGCTCTGCTTGCTCTGTCTGTGATGGGGAAGGGAAAGAAGAGAGGCTGTCTCCTTGTTGCCACTTTGGCCCACAAGACAGTTTGAGGGTTCAGTGAGTGTGTCTCTGTAGTCGCTGTTGGCTGTGTCTGGCTCCCAACCCCAGCAGGCCCACAGATCTTCCAGGAGTCTTCCTGCCTGACCAGCCCTGCTCCCTAGGCCACGCCCCTCCAGAGTGACCGACTACTCAGGGCCCTCACTGACCTCCTTTTGCTTTCCTCTCCACAGTGTGGCAAAGGAGCCGAGAATTTCGACAAGTTCTTCACCAGAGGACAGCCCGTCCTCACGCCGCCGGATCAGCTGGTCATCGCGAACATAGACCAGTCTGATTTCGAAGGGTTCTCCTATGTCAACCCCCAGTTTGTGCACCCCATCATACAGAGCTCAGTATGAGAATCGCCAGCAAGAACCATCACCTCCCCACGTCCCCAGCACCCCCAGCAGCAGGAAGTGATCCTTAACCCTAAAATTTTAAGGCCACGGCCTTATGTCTTTGTTCCACATGGAGGCCTGAAAATTGTAGGGTTATTAGTCCCAACGTGATCAGCTGTCCAGGGTCTCACTGTTAAAACCAAGAATGTTATCTTAGCAGAAGACAAAATCGGTGTAGTGTGGCCAGTTTGATCATGTAGATGTTGCACCTTCCGTAGGCTAACCCTTCCCAGGCAAAAAGCAGACTTTTACCCTCCCCCCTTTTTGGGTACGATTTGATATATTTTCCATATCCTTTGGCTGGATGTCACCATCAGGATCCCCCAAGCAGAGATGTGAAAATGGACACCTGCCCCCCGCCTAGGGGACTGGAAGCATGTCTCCAGAATGAAGGAATGAGGAGCTCGGAGAGGGAGTCAGGAAGGGCCAGGACTGGGGCAGCCTTCAGGATACTCCCATCTGCCGTGTTCTCTGCCTCCATGGAGACAGACCCTCAGGTCAATCGGAGAGGCCAGGATGAACTAACCCCCATCCCCCAACGATGACATGGCATATCCCAACCCTAGCCCAACGGACACCAGCTTCGAGAAGGAAGACCATCTCCAAGGAGCACTGGTGACTCTGTCACCTGGCCCCCTACTTGGTGGGTAACTGTCTTGATACTTGCAAAATTTTTTAAGAGGCCAAACCGTGAAGGACTTTGCTAAGCAAGCACATGGAATCATTTCAGATGACACAAGAGCAGTGTGTATGGGTGTCCCTAATCTCTGGGAGCTGGCTCCTCCTTCTAGGGTGCCATCAGAAACCATGCCACTACTCACGCATCTTGTTAGCCAACCCCCTCCTTCCCCCCGACCCCCTTGCCACCTATGTTATCACCCTCCCTGAAAATCTGAAGTGTGTGCCCCATCCCCTTTTGTACTTATTTATTTATTAGGCTGCAGTAACATTTAGAAAAGTACGCTGTACAGGAACCTAAGCTGGTGACTCCAGCATCAGTCCCCTCTGGCTGACCTCCCCGTCCCTCCACTAGGCCCCGACGTCCACTTGGGGGTGGAAGGCAATGTGGGTTGGGTCCCCATTTCCAGTCCCCATTGGATGACACTCCTGGAGCGATAGAATCAGGACACAGGATGCTCTATGAGTAGAAGGATTTTCATACGTTTTGCAGATGCATCATGCAATGAATTTTGCATGTTTCTAATAAACCTTAATAACAAGTGAAATCTATATTATTGACATAACCATATCAAGTATAAAGAGAGTATTATATAATAATTTTATAAGACATAATCGTGCTCTGTGAAGGCTCATGTTTCTAACCTCTGTGATTAAGTTTATAGATTCATTCTTTGCTGAGATGCCTCCGTAGCTCTGCCCCTCCCTTCCACCATCCACTCCTCCGTGTTGCATCTTGGCCCCATATCCAGTACGTTGATTATTTTTTTCAATGTAGATCTAATTTTAGAAACAAATGGCTCCTTCCCATGCCCAGCTAGGCTTGCCCTGTACACGAATGTACATAGTCCATCCTCCTTGCGGACAGATGTGGTGTTGGTAGCAATGACCTTAGAGATGCAGCCTCTGCACTTCGTGATGCTGTCCTCTGTTTGGATTCCTCACCATTCTTCCTCTTGCGGATAGCTGCAAGTCTCTGTAACTTCCCCGGATAAGGGCTGTGCGTGCACTTAAGGCGGTATCACAGCACCTGGACTGAACTGAGTGTGTGTGTGTGTGTGTGTGTGTGTGTGTGTGTGTGTGTGTGTGTGTCTGTCTGTGCGTGCACATGTGTGCATGTATTTGCTCATTCCTCTTCTCAGCCTTATGGCTGTTGATAACTCTGGGGTGACAGGGACCAGGAGACTCCCTTCTTTGCTATATCCCGGGACACCCTGGAGTCTTGAGGTCCACATGCTGTCCCTGGGTAACCTGCCATTTGCTCCAACATGTGCAGACCTCATGAGACGAACCACGTGTGTACCACCACCACCAGCCCAGTCATGTCTGGCAGGTGCCAAGGGACTCCGTGGGGAGCAGGGTCAGGGTATGTCCAGCCCATAGGTTGCAGAAGACCTAAAAATTATTTGGTTTGGTCCTGCCAAGAAAACCAAAGGTAGTACTCCAAATTCAATAAATCCATAGCAGGCTAATTTTTAAATTGGTCATTTGGTGAATGAGATTACAAATATCCAGTGGCCCTTAGTCGCAAAAAAAAAAAAACATCCCCTAGTGCTCGTGGAGGCTGCCCTTGCCTTCCACATGTTGCCAGAATTGGCCCCTCCCCATTCAACAATGGCCTCAGAAGAGCTAGACTTCTGCAGGATAAAAGTGACCATGACAGTAGCTGTTGGTCCAAATCAGCTGTTATATTCACACGCCTCCCACTCCAGGCAGGAGTCTCCCAGCTCAGCTGTCTTCACAGTGGCTATAGCATTTGTCTGGAATTCATGGCTTTGAGGCGAGACTCAGGCTGTGCACTTTGGCTCTCAAGGACCCTAACTCAGGGCTCTCTACATGCCCACTGGTCAGTGTGTGCCCACAGAAAAGGGGCTGATCTGTAGACAGCTCAGGAGACACAAAGTCCAGCTGCCAGCCCCAACACAGAAGCAGCAGGCTAGCTGACCCCAGCCTGTCCCCCAGGAGTCGAGCAAAATCCTGCAGAGAGACACCTGTCAGCAGGTGTGTGTCCTTTCAGAGTGTAAGCGACAGACCCTGAGCCTGGAGCCCAGCCCTCTGCCAAAGAAGCAATCTCCAGAGCAAATCAGGAGGGGCAGGAATAAGCAGGGCCTGTGAAGGACTGCCACGGGGTCAGCTGTTGGCTTACACGGTGCTGGCTGTGGGCTTGCCCCAAATCTAAGGCTGAGCAGTGAAGCAGTTATTGCTAAAAGACTAACTCATGTGGGCAACTGCTCATGACTCCTGCCTCTCCCACAAATCAGTCTATCAAATTCCATTCCATCATCCCACATCTGGGTCCTTTGTGCGAAGTGACATGGCAGAGATGGTTCCAGTGTTCAAGCCTGGCATCTAAAATGTGCATCTTGGATGGAGCCTCAGGTTCCCCAGGGGACCCTCCACTAACTACCTGCCGCTGTTGCCAGGGCCTGTAGGGGAAATTCTAGTATAATCTGAAACTCCACAGGACCCACAAGGTGGTGACCCCAAAAAGATCACTGAAAGTCACTTTGCATTATGTTGAGTGGTGAGACACAGGTTAAAGGGCTGGCGGAAGACACGGTGCTGCACCTGCAGTCACCAGGTGCCCAGGTTGAATGGAAGGAACCCAAGGCTGCTTCCAGGGGCAGCCCTCGGAGGCCTGTACAGACTTCCCTGCAGAACTCCATGCAGAGGTGGACAGGAAGCCCAGGGAAACCCCAGGAAACCAAACGATGGCTCCCCCGGTGGCCTCAGCAGAGGAGGGGGCTTGCTGCAGTGAGGGTGCCGGTGCCCATGAAAGGGCCAAGAAGGGCAAGGTGGCGAGCGGGAGGCTGCAGCATGTCCTGCGGCTTTGCTGTGGGGAGCCATGGAAGCCACTGCCTGCGGGCCCTTGAACCTATTTTTGCCAGACACAGCTTGTACCTCCTACCCCCGGCTGCCAGCAACACCCCTTCCTGCCACAGCAGCCCCTGCTCTTGCCTGAAGCAGCTCCTCATTCTCTCAGGCAGTGGCTAGCAGGGAGAGGCCACCCAGCAGGAGAGATAGAGCCACTGAAAGTGAATGGGAAAGTGGCAAAAATAGACGAGGCAGCCACAGCCATTCACACCTGCTCCCTCAAGGAAGAGCTGGGGGATGGGGCCGGACTGTGTTTTGTCAGCCCTGCTCAGTGGGAGTCTGAGGTTTTTTAAAAGCTTCAGGCAATACCACCTGACCGTGACTTTCTCACTTTGGTCATGTGAAGCACCCTCTGTTGTTTTGGGCAGTAGTCTCGATTCCAGCTTCCATGCGGTCCAGCCACCTGCTCCCCCTACAGAGTGCCACCTTCAGGACCAGGAGGGCAGAGGCCCAGGCAGGTCACAGGGACAGTTGTGACCCTGAGCAAGAGAGCATAAACACTGCGCTAGTTAATGACCCAGGAGTATTGGGAAATGTGTTTGCCATCTGTTTCTTTCAGCTGCTTCGGTTACTCGTTTTGGTTCATCCTGGGCAGTCTGCTTTTTCCCAACTTTTCCCATTTGAGCCAGGGCAGTACATCCAGGGAGTGCAGCGTTGTCTGTGTTGGAAGTTCCAGGATGCTGGGAAATGCCTCCTGAGTTATACAAGGATGAAGATAAAATGGCATCAGTCACCAGTTGTATTAACTCTGTGATGTCGGGGCGATGGCTGGGGTAGAGGCGAGATTGGCTGTGATTACCCTGGGCTCCACTGTGTGGTCAGCCCTCAGTTGTTGATGGTGTCAAGCCACACTTAGCCATTGAACAGCCTTACGATGTCCCTAAGCCTGAAACCCACAGGTTCCAAAGACCTTTTGTTTTTTAACCTTATCTAAGAAATAAATGTGTTAACTCCAACAGAGCAACACTGTATACTGGGATCTTTGTACTTTTTTATAGAAAACTTAAATAACTCTTTTAAAAATGAATTTTTAAAACAAAGCTGCTGTCACTGCTGTCAGTTTCCAAGATTCCAGTCACGGAGTCTGTGGGCAGACTCCACTGGCCTCCACTAGAGTGCCCCCAACCCACAGCCCCACTGCAGACTTTTCCCATGGTGGTGGACTCTCAGTTAAGAATCTGAGACTGCCTGCATTTTTAGTGAACACCGGAGACAAATCTAGAAACTTCTAGGTGGTAGGAAAACCAGCTTTAGGGTCCCCCCTCCAGATGTGGCTATGGGACAGTATTCCCAGAGATCTCGGGGCCCTTTTCCTCGCTCGCTCTGTGAGGGTCTGTGACCACCTGTTGACCAAAGGAGGAGACAATGTGTCATTTCTGTCCCAGCCTTCTGGGGCCCCAGGTTTCCATACTAGGGGGAGATTCAGAGCCGCTCTTGAAAGATTTCGCTCACTTGGAATCCCTCCAGCTCCTCGAACAGAAACAGGAGATGGCAGCAGACTCACCTGCCGGCCTCCTCTTTTGTGGAAGGAGACAGAACCTGCCCTGCAGAAAGCGGCTGTCAAGGCCACCCTCGAAGGGCGGCTATGTGATGTCAGGTTGAACAACCAAGTCCGTGGCTTCTCCTTTAATGTAAGAGTCTCCACTCCTGGGTGGGTTTGCAGACTCGAGTTTCTCTCTTTCCTGGGGGGCTGTAATCTCCCAGGGAGGGAATCTAAGGTGTCTCTTAAGTCACACCTCCTCTCCCTTCTCCTCGGGTCTTTCACAGTATCTTTTATTTAGATGGTCAGAAACATTTGCACCCTTGCTTTTGCTCTGTGTGTGTGTGTGTGTGTGTGTGTAAGAACATGCCATGTTTAAATTATTAATTGAAAAAAAAAACCATCATTTAAGAACCCAAATGTGCACAGAGGAAGAGATGGAAGATGAGGGTATTTTTTTTTTCCTTTCTGTAGAAGCACCTACTGACAAGATATTTCTTCCCAAGCAGGTGAGATGGGTGTGTAAATGACCACATTGCTCCATTTGTACAACTTCTGATCTGTGTTTGCATGCGATGCTTTGTTACATACATTAGCTGTGGTTTGGAAGCAAGTGTGTTCGAATAAAGATAACGATCATTCCTCGCAGCTTCGGTCTCACTTAGGTCCTTGGCGGCGCTGCGACAGGCTCATCCAGTGCTCCTCTCACTTAGCCCTGCAGCACCTGTGCGTGTTGCCAGCTTCATCCCTGCCTTTTTCTCAAAAGACTCTGTCCTTTGAACCAAAGCCCCGACAATGACCAGAAGAAAGTCGGATGGGTCTTTGCTTCAGTCAGCCATTTCCCAGTGGTCTGGCAAGCTGCAGCTCAGGCCCTGGGATCGGGGGGCATGGTGGCAAGGTCTTGCACTGCCCATCTGCCCGTGGTGGTGATGAGCCTCTTGTCCACAGCAGGGTGCAGATCACAGAGGAAGCCCACCCAGCGCTGAGGGGATGCTCCATTTGACACAACTTTAGCTATGCGATGGACTTCAGGGCTGTTCCCACTTTCAGGGTCAGCAGCCTTCATCCCAAGGTTATTCATGGGGTGAAAACAACGTGGGAGATGATTTCAAAGGCGAAACACTTAACACAGGACACTGGCAAAAGAACTGGGTCCGCGAAGAGGTAAAACAACAACCCGATCTCAGAAAGCCAAGAGTCAGCCCTGGTGAGGGTCGTCTCAAACCTTCTTGTCTGCTTCGCGGGGGATTCTCTTCTTCATGCTCATAGCATGACCCCACATATCCTCCCACCCAGCTGGGCCAGCCCTCCCTACCTGCACCCAGACCCCACACCCCATACTCCCAGCACCCCGGCCTTAGGTAAATCACCCACGTGTTACTGTCCCCACTTGTCACCTCCCACACCGCCTCCCATTCGCCAAGACACTGTGGTCATTTGCATCCCCAGAGGTGACATACAGTCCATGGTCTTCTGCAATACAGGGGCCAAGAGAGGGATGTATTTTTGCAGGGCCCTTGGAGTCGTGACTCCCCCAGGCAGGTCCTGCTTACTGTACTGTTTTCAGAAAAATAGGAAGTCCAAGGAGGTTAAATAATGACACCCTAGTGAGCAACACAGGGTGGTCTGAGCCCACCACAAGAGCAGAGAGGCCTTCCTGGAGGAGGCGGCAAGGGGAGTGGGTAGCCTGAGGAAGGATGGCGGGAATGGGGAGGTGGTCATAGGTAAGCAGAAGCTAGCCCACAGGAAGGATGGATGGTTATCTGGCACCTAAGGTATAATTGAACCACAGCCCTCTCATTGGATCGCCGTAACACCTCCGTGGGACCAAGAGCCTGATTAGCATCGCACAGGTGAAGCCAAGGTGCGAGTCACTAGCTGATTTAGGACCCCTAGCAGCACAGTGGGGCTGGGTGCCAGGACCCTCTTGTCTTCCTGACCCTGCCAGGCTGTGGAGATGGAACTGAGGGCCCAGTGCACTTCCAGGGGCCAGGGCCCCTTTGTGGCTCCCATCAAAACCCCCTCCGCCCCACTCCCAGCCCCTGGCCAACATTGCTAAGGCAGATGTCTCCTTCCTGGGCTGCTCAAATGCCTGTGAGCCATAAAGCTCTGGCACTGCCACTTCCAGAAGGTTCTCTTCCACCTCCACCCTCCCTCTTCTCATCTCTGGATTCTGCACCGTCTCCTGTGGGTGGAGAGAGAAAAATAGCAGCACCAGCTCTCAGAGCCCAGGAGGCACCTGCAGCCTCCCGCGGGAGGACAGGAACAGCAGCCCTTGGTCCTGGTCACCCTCGTCCATGCCGAGGTGGGTGGTGGGTGCAGAAATGATCAGACTGAAACCAGAGATGCCTTTGGCACTGGACAGCGTGAGTGTGGGGAAGGAAGGCTGGCCCGGGCAGCATGGGATGCTGTCACGTCCTAGAAAACACACAGCCATGACGTCAGATGCTTGTAACTGGCACAGGGAAGCAAAAGAAACCCCCAAGGCGGCCACTGTTGTCATTGCCAATGGCTGTTGTGCCACAGTCGGAGAAGCCGACCCATCACACAGCACTGAGCCCAGGCTGCTCCTTGGGGGCAGGAGCCATGTATGTGGGCACACACGCGCACACACATACACACACACACACACGCGCGCGCGCGCACACACACACACGATATTTAGAAAACCGGAGGGCACTGAATCATCAGAAAAGGAGGGGACGCCTGAGCGAGGCATCTCCTGCAGAAAGGATCCCAGGTTACTTCCCAAAGTTCACACAGAAAATGAAATTAATAGAGATATTTTGGGGGGTGTAAAAAAATTTAGAAACCCATGAATTTTTATAATACAGATTTTCCATATTTTTAAAACCTTTCATATGTGTAGATTTTGGACTCTTTACACTAAAATTAACTTTTTCATTTTTATAATAATTATTTACTTGAAAGGCAAAGTTAGAAATCTTTCTTTATGGCTTATTTATTTTTATTGGGAAGTCAGATATACAGAGAGGAGAAGAGACAGAGACAAAGATCTTCTGTCCGCTGATTCACTTCCCAGGTGACTGTAATAACTGGAACTGAGCCAGTCCAAAGACAGGAACCCAGAGCCTCTTCTGGGTCTCCCACACAGGAGCAGGTTCCCAAAGCTTTGTGCCATCCTCTACTGACTCCCCAGGCCACAAGCAGGGAGCTGAATGGGAAGTAAAGCTGCTGGGATTAGAACTGGTGCCCATATGGGATCCCGGGCGCGTTCAAGGTGAGTATTTAGCCACTAGGCTATCACATTAGACCGAAGAAATCTTTTATCTGCTGGTTCATTCCTACAATGGCCACAATGGTCGGGGCTGCGCCAGGTGAAGCCAGAAACATGGAGTTCTGTCTAGGTCTCCCGCGTGAGTGGCTGGAGCCCAAGTGCTTGGATCATCTTTCACTTCCTTCTTAGTGGGACTTGATCCAGTGTTCCTATGGGATGCTGATAACACAGGCTTAGTTTGACCCACCACATCATAAAATTGACTCATGATGGCCTTGTTCCATAAAGTTTTTCAGGGCCACTCAGAATACTTGACTTCAAGTTTTCAACTTGAGTTTATCTGAAAAGAAAGCAAGACTTTCACAACGAAACCTGAATGCAAAATCCATCTCCACAGCTTCCTACTCTTCTGGGTTCCCTGCCCGCAACTGACTGGCTCTATTACCATTTTTAAAAACTCATTTTTTTTCTTAGCCATCTGTCATGTTGTATTAAGACCATTCTCCTTTTGGCACTTGTGTATACTATTTGCTTAAATGACTTAACTTCAAGAAGAGCAGGCACCACATCTGTTGGGAATAAATCCACTGCCTCATAGCAAATCATAGCAGAAACAAAACTGCCTGGAAATATGAGAGAATGAGAATGGGGAGGAGAGGAAAAAGGTGTTTACCATATCGTGGGAACAAATTACCGTTTAATAGAGGAGATAAAAGAAAGCTTGTTAATCTGGGAGATTGCCCGCTGTCTCTCAGCTAAGGAGAGCTGCACTCCCAAGCAAGGCTCACCTGTCACATCATGTGTCGGGGCTGCCTTGTATTCCAGTGCGTCCAGATGCGTTATAACTCATCCACACCCGTGGTTTGTCTCTATCATGTGTGTCCTGGTGTTTAGATGGCTCATGCGTTTTTTACCATTGGAAATATTGTGATGAATATCCTTAACATTATGTCTTCAAATGTTTGACCAATTGCTCATTCAAACCAGTATTCATCAAGCCTCTGCTAGGTGTGAGGTGCCACTGTCTGGGTGTCAGAAATGCAGCAGAAAATCGAACCAGCAAGACACCATACACTCGAGTGCCGAGTTTCCATTTCCTTGGTATGAGCTCCCATCTGTAGAGTCCTTAGTCAGTGGCTAGGAGCACTTCTAGGACTCTCTATACAACATCAAAAATGCACTCAGGTGGGCTAGCATGCTAATCTTCCACCTGTGGCCCCGGGATCCCGTGTGGGTGCTTTTTTAAGTCCCAGCTGCTCCCCTTCTGACCCAGTCCCCTGCTAATGTGCCTGGGAAGGCAGAAGAAGATGGCTCAGGTTGTTGGGCACCCACATGAGAGATCCAGAAGAAGTTTCACACTTCTGGCTCCTGGCTTCCAACATTCCAATTACGACCATTACAAATCACATACAGTCTTCTCTCTGCGTCTCTCCTTCCCTGTAAAATCTGCCTTTCAAATAAAAATTGATAAATCTTTTTTAAAATGTACTTAGAAACAAAGGAAGTGGTGAATTCTAATTTTTCACCAATGAGTCACTTAAATTTTCACATACACACACACACATTCATGCCTGCAGAGTTAATCGTTACCGCATGTATTTGTCATCTATTGCTGCAAAACAAATTATTCCCAGACTTAGCAACTGCACACAGCAAATCCATACGGGGACCAGGAGTGTGGTAGCAGCTTAGCTCGGGATGTCTCCTGAGGCTGCACTAATAATCCCCTTTGTCCTAAAAGGGGTCTTTGGTGAGTCACACTGTTGGTTTATGTCATTTTCCTTTCCACTTTTAATTTCTCTAAAATCCACGCTTACTGTTGACAACTAAGAAACATAGAAAAGTCAAGATAAAACCTCGCAGAGCCTGGAGTCGACCACTGCACACACCATTTCACAAGCATAAGGAATATACAATTCTGCATCCTCCCTCATGTCATACTGCTTCCATTTTTCTCCAAGTCAAGAAGATCTTGGCACGGAATACCTTCAATTTCTTCCCATTCTACCAGTCACCAACACGTCCTCATCATTATTGGAATCTTATGCTTTTCCAGTTTTATTGGGATTATTATTTTCAAATGACTGACAAGACACTTTTGTTCCTAAAATGCTGAATGCATCTTGGGTTATTTGCTCCAACGAAGCCTCAGAAATCGATAATGGAACACTTGTTGGGACTCTGGTGTCTCCTGTTTGACTTCCTGAAACCCTGTGTTTCCCACGGTGAGCCATCGTCCTCCCACATTAACTCGTGGCTGGTGTGTCCTTCTGGTGCCCTGCTGTCCTTCCCCAGCTTGTCATCGGGAGATCCATTCACTCGTGTGTTCATTCACTCATTCAACAAATGGGCTCAGTGCTAGGAATGCACTTCATCAAGAATTGTTGGGGCTTTGTCTCTTTCAATGGGT